TGATTACAGAGTAGATTACTGTGCAGTGTCCGACAAAATATTTTTATCAGGTTACTCGAAAAACGAATGTAAAAATTAATTTAACGACAAATTTCTTTTGCGTTTTTTTTCCCTTTTAGAGATCATTAGAGTTGTATTTAAAGAATTATTTAACTAAAACATCGAATGAATGTGCAGTTCTTTCCCATGTGAGTTTATTGCGCCTCTGCGTCTGCGTTTTAAAGGCTACTGGTGCACCCTGACCTGATGCGGGGACCAGATCTCTACACTATTGCTTTAATTTCACAATTTTCATTATTTCCTTGCATTTTCATATGGTAAAATATCAAAATTTGTTTTCTGAAAGTAGTAGGAGTGACGGGAGTGTTAGTAATTAATGACAAAAAGAACTTTCACTTTTGAGTAAACTTCTGTCACAGATTATTTTAGTAAAACCCCCGGCCCGCAAAAAAAAAAAAAAAAAAAAAAAAAAAAAACACCACCGCAACACTGACGGTTGTTGGTGACATCCCTAAGGACTGTTTGGCGAAATATATCACTGCACGTCACTGCATATCAAACGACTGAAATGATATAACTAGAGAAATCTCTGTGCTGAGCGAGAGCGCTTACTGAACAGCGCAGCAGCGATGACGTAAGCATGCCCAGGCCCGATTGGCCCAGTTCGAGGCAACTGTACATAGTGTGAGTACAGCCTTACAAACTGGTAACAAGTCAGTTAAGTATGACTTAAACCATTGTAAAGCCTGTCCCTAGACACCTGTAAAATTTACGCGATCTCATGGTCAATAGTGTCAAATGCAGCCTCTCTCAGCAGCTAGGAGTATAGGTATTTTCACTAATGCAGTTTCTGTACAATGATGAGGCCTTAAACCTGACTGAAACACTTCAAAAACATTGTTTATCTGTAGAAGGGAGCACAATTGAGCAGAAACAACTTGATCTAGTATTTTAGAAATAAAAAGAAGATTTGAAATAGGCCTATAATTAGCTAAGTTGCAGAGATCAAGTTGTGGTTTCTTAATAATAGGCCCATAAACAGCTATCTTGAAAAGATTTGGAACATGGCCTAAGGATAAAGAAGAGTTAATAGCATTAAGAGGTTCTCCTACTACAGGGGGCAAATCTTTCAGTAATTTTGTTGGAATCGAGTCTAATATACATGTAGCTGGTTTAGACATATTTATAAGTTTATCTAGTACTTTCTGTTCTATCATTTCGAAGCACTGTAGATTATTTTACTTTGGTGGAATGTTTAATAAGTCTGAGGTAAAGGTAGTGCAAAAACTTAAACATCTATTTTCTGCCTAAAGCCTTCTATTTTATCATTTGAAAAAATTTAGAATTGTGGGGTGACAGTGCTAACCACTGAACCGTTATGCTGCCACATTATGCAAGCTCTATACTCAAAGTTTATGTTGTAGCAAAGTGTCTCTTATTCAGTGTTGTCACTTGAAAATATATGGTTAAATATTTGCAAAATGTGAGAGGTGTACTCACTTCTGTGTCTTACTGTATGTATTAGGTGCAAGATACAAATATTTAGCAAAATGCAACAATTTGCTATTTATTTGTTGGACAAAAATATTCACATATTGTTTAAAAGTTCATAATATGTTGCAAAAACAGTGCAACATTACCAATGTTAACTAATTTAAGGAAATGTAAATGCATTGAAACACTTTCATTTCGTCAACAATGCAACATTACCAGAGGGTAATTTTAGTGCAAAATAAATGCAGATAACACGTTGTTCACTGCACTGAACGTAAATGCTATGTGGAAACTTCCTCTATGGGGATTTCGTCAGAAGCCAATCATCTGAAAGAATTATAAAACAGGCCAATGAAATTGCAATGAATTGGTGCCATCAGTGTACACAGCTGGCAACTATTGTAATCATTTGTGTAAAAAGATACCAGCCGTGCATTACAGAGACACCTTTTCTAGCTAAAGAGCCAAACTAAGCTGTCAGCTAAGGCACAACCGCTTGTGGCGAAGGAACATAGCATTTCTGTTACCCCCATTAGGGAACAAGGGTTATGTAGTTATCTTTTTCTTCCCCAGCAAGAGGGGAAGTTCAATGCTATGTGGAAACTTCCACTATGGAAAAATGTATGGAAAACGCCACAGCGATTGAACCTTACCACATCACTGGTGAGAGGTTTGCCAGACTTTCATTGTGAGTGCACCATCATCACCAGAGATGTTTTCTGTATGTCTTCTAACGTGCCCCCTGGCCCTAACTTACCTGACTTACCTGTAAATCATTTAAAGTCTTAATTATATTTTTGGGGAATCATAAAAAATAAACCCAGTTAAGTTTTTAAGAATTTTTAAATATGACAGTACATATGGAAAGCGTGCAGTTTCAATAGGAAGGACGCTGTGGAGGCCACCTGCTGCCCAAATGGGGACACCTGATGGCAAGAAGACATCTGGACTAACCATGAGAAGGGGGAGTACACATATGAAGGATGATAAGCGGGGAGGGAAGACACAGGCCCACTTTTGCCTAGTGCTTTCACACTTGCACTTTTGGTTTGCACCCGGGTTTGTTTGACGCCAGAGAACAGTGTGTTGAGCTAGAGTGAACATGTCTTATGAACCTGAAAGAGATGATCTGGGGTATGGTTCACGCAAACTGTGGTCCGGTTCACTTCTGGTATAAATGCAATCGTACCAAATAACGGAAGTAAACTGTCAACAGAACAACAAAGTATTGTTTTGTTAACGTTCATTTGTGTGTGTGTGTGTGTGTGTGTGTGTGTGTGTGTGTGTGTGTGTGTGTGTGTGTGTCGGTGTATCACATACTGTACCTTGCTGCCAAGCAGGGCAAAGACAGAGATAATGTCTGTTTGTCTCCTTGAGTCACTTTTTGAATGTCTAAAACCAAAAGGTTTAGTAAAAGTGAAACGGCCGTGATGTGTGGATGTTTTTTTATTTTTATTTTGGTGCTTTGCTTTTGTGTCTATCACCTGGCAACAGCTATACACAAAACAGCTGCTTGATGATGAAAGCATGCCAAGGTTCAGAAGGAAAAAAGAAAGTGTGACCACAAACCAAACGAGAAGGTGGCAAGGGGGGACAATCGAACTTGGGTACAGTTCAGGCAATTGAACAAAGTGTGAAAGCACCCTGAGAGGGGGAAACTACACCATGGCTGAGTGAAGCAAATGGGATCTCCAGTGGGAATTGCGCATAGTAGGCACCTATATCCAGAACGCGGGTAGACCAAGTAGGCATGCCAACAATGTAATGGGCCAGGCACCTGGAGTCCTCCGCTGAGTCAGGTGCTGGGGTCTTTGGAAGAACTATAAGGTTTGCCAAAATGGGAAACTCAACTGAACAGAGTGAAAAAAGCACACATATCTCTGTGATAGAGAGAAAAACGCAGCAAGCGGGTTACAACACCAAACCAAATTTCCTCATTCACCAGAGTTACCAGCACATGTGAGAAAATCGGCTCCACTCGAAAATTATACAATCTTGTGAATGTATTAGGTGTGACCCTGCCCACAGCTCTACAGATATCTGTTGGATAGGTGATATGTGCTTACGCCCAAGATGAAGTGACACTCCAAGTGGACTGCACTTTGACTCTTGGGGGGGCTAAGGCTCGCCCAGGCCCTGATAAGCAAGGAAGATGGCATCCACTATCCAGGGTGAACAGGACACACCATTAAAAGGGCTGGGTCTGCCTCCTCCAAAGGCAGCACTTGCAGGCTCAACACCTGGTCTTTAAACGGTGTGGTAGGAACCTTGGGTACATATCCAGGCTGGGTCTCAGGATCACATGAGAGAAAGCCAGCCCAAATTCCAGGCACAAATCACAGCCCCAAAATGCCTCAAGGTCCCCTAAACTGTCTTCAAGGACAGAAGTCTCAAGGATACTAAGTTGAATGGTATGAATGGAGCCTCGCTTTAGTTCTGCTGTTGTTTCTAAATTACAGTTTGATGTACAAAAAGGATGTTATCATGTCACACTCAGTAGTGACAGTACTGAACCTTTAAAATCTGCTTTATTCAGAATTTACTAAGACCTTTATTTCAGTATGTTACAGTGCTTCCAACTGAAATGAATACTTAATAAGTAGCGGGGCTTTATTTTTTAGAAAACAAACAGTAAGAGGATCGTTGTTATTTTTGAGGCTGAAGCCATCAAACAAAGGTCCTAAAGCAAATTAAGGGTGCTTTCACATCTAGGTTTTTGTTTCAGAACCTGTCTCATTTGCCCAGTTTGCGTGGTTCATTTAGCATATGTGAATCCAACAATCGCTCTCAGATCCACGCCAAACAATCGCTTCGAGATCGCTTGAATGAGGTGGTCTTGGCTCGATTGAAACAAACTCTGGAGCGAATCGATTTTAGTGAGAAAGCGATACGATCCGAGCCCGGTTATATCACAGTGTTTTATGGATATGTAATAGGCATGCAGCTATATGAAGAGAGAATTATGAGTAGGGTGGGAGGTCATTCAACAGACATCCCGAGTCTCCCGCTAATACACAGAGTATCCCGAATACCTGCAAATGAGTGATAATCTCCCGGTAATCACTCGTCTACTTCCCACTCCTCAAATACGTCGCACACCCTTCTGATCCCTCCCTACAGCATCCCTCTTCGCTCTTCAGACACGTCGCACACTTTGTCAAACACCACCAAACCACCACCTCCCCTGACAGCTAAGCGGGACTCTGCAAAATAAACCGTGAAACTCTGACCAATGTGAGGAGAGTTTACTCACACGTGACTTATTTTAGCTCTTTTGGTCTGTTTAGAAACTTTGCAGTGTGAAAGCAAACTGCACCAAGAACAAAGAGCAACAATGTAACAATTTTAATCCCTGTTTCGGAACAACTGAATTGATTCGCAGGTGTGAAAGCACCCTAACTGTTCACCTAAAAAATAACAAGAAGTAGACAACAAAGTAAACAATGTAAATATTGATTTCACATGGACCGTAACATCTATGTTTATGATATTCGTTGTTTTTTTAGACACTGGAGCCAGTGGATCAGCTCCTGCAGAGTGTGGATCCAGCAAAAGACAGAGAGCTTTGGGTGAAGGAGCACAAGACAGGAGATCGGAGACCTGTGGATATGGACATCTAGACCATACATGCACACTCACACAGACACAAACACAATATGAATCTACCTGCATGCCTGTTTTCCTGAGTACTTCAACCTCTCAGCCAAAGCCATACAGGTATCACCCCTTGAAGCATTACAAAATATAAGCTTTACAGAAGACTTTTTAAATGTTATAATGTCAAGAGTAGTGGGAAGGAACAGCAGTGCGTTACAGTTTTTTTAGTAGCCATTTTATCCTGCATGTCCAAATTTATTATGCTACTTAATACTTCAGAGTGTTTATTACTGTACGTGTAACATCATTACAATAGACATCAGTGCTATAGATCGGAAAAGCACTGTAAAAGTAAAGCACCTGTTTGTTTGTTTATTTGCTTCAGCAGATGCCTATAAAGTGGATTACATCGAATCAGATTTTATTTTGAAATGTTGTGAAGAAAGTGAACTAAATAGCTAATTGTAGATATATGGGTCAAAGATGAGGAGCCCCATTTAAAGTTAGTTGTCTATATTAATGTTTCAAATAATTTAAATTAAAAAGTCAAAATATATTCAGTTTCATTCATTACTTGTGTGTTTTATATTTGTATAAAATTCTGACCTGTTTTCTGAACAATAATAATAATAATAAAAAATTTAAAATATTAAAAAAAAAATTTAATCTATATGATATAGTGATAAAATATAAAGAATTACAATGACAGTTAATCACCATTTTCCTTAAATAGAGTCTTTAATTATGTCAAAATATAATTCTTGGTCCAAGGGTGCTTGACAATATTTTTGAAAATTAAACTGAATTACATTTTAGTGGGTATGTTTAGTAAGAAAAATGGCATTTGTTGCTTATTATAAACAATAATAATAAAAACCTGTTTTTATCTTTGACCCATATATAGTGGCCTGGACTAAAACACGGGTCAGACATTAGGATTATTGTTACAGACAGCTTCATGATGCCATAAAGTGTTTGACATCTTAAAAAAAAAATGTATCTTTAGCAGAATAAACCAGCATCAAATTAATGAGGGGTAAAAATCTAAAGTCCACCATCAGTGGTTATATCGTTAAATCTGTATTGTAGGAAGAAAAAAAAAGTTGTTGTTTTTTTTTTACCAAAAGAAATGCAAATGACATTAATGCTATTTTCTCTTGCTACACATAAACTGCTAGCAAATTTCCTGCTTTTTTATTATCCAAATATCGTAATGGTAATTAATAAAAAGAATGCATGATCTTGCTACTGTCAAAAAGTCACCCTTTAGGGTGGGACCGGATTTTCTTTTCGGCTTGATCCCTTTATTAATTAGGGTCTGCCATGATGGAATGAACCACCAAGTTATCCAGCATATGTTTTAAACAGCGGATGCCATTCCAGCTGCAACTCATCACTGGGAAACACTCAAAAATTCTCATTCACACACTTACACTATAGCTAATTTAGCTTATCTAATTCACCTATAGCACATGTCTTTGGGGGAAACCAAAGCACTCAGAGGAAAAAAAAACACGGGGAGAACATGCAAACTCCACACAGAAACACCAACTGACCCAGCCGGGGTTCGAACCAGCCACCTTCTTGGTGTGAGGCGACATCGCTACTCACTGCGCCACTGTGCTGCATATTATATTATATTATATTATATTATATTATATTATATTATATTATATTATATTATATTATATTATATTATATTATATTATATTATATTATATTACAACTATAAACAGTTGTGTATTTTTGTTTAGCCTCATACTATTCTGTATGTTTCTCCGGTAACACTTTACAATAATGTTCATTAGTTAATGCATTTACTAACATAAACTAATCATGAACAACACTTGTATAGCATTTATTAATCATAATTGAACATTTACTAATGCATTATTAACATTCAAGTCCATGCTTGTTAACATTAGTTAATGCACCATGAGTTAACATGAACTAACAATGAACAACTGTATTTTCATTAACTAACGTTTATTAACATGAATATATACTGGAGTAAATGTATTGTTCATTGTTTGTTCATGTTAGTAAATGCATTACTTAACATTAACTAATGAACCTTATTGTAAAGTGTGACCGTTTGTCCTGTGTGTTCATGTGTTTGTGTGTATGTGTGAGCGTCTGTTATTTACACTTTTCTTAAAAAAAAGTAAAAACATGAATATTATGAATAAAGAACATGCCAGTTACAAGCAAACTGTATATCTATCAGAAGAGTGAATTTCTGTAGGTTGTGTATAACATTCAAGTTTAATTGTTACATATGAATTTCATTGTCTTTACAATGTGAGAAACCCCAAATTTCTTAAATGCAGTTTGCTCAGCAACAGAATAACTGTTCTGACTTTGTCAGATATATATATATATATATATATATATATATATATATATATATATATATATATATATATATATATATATATATATATATTAGAAAAGATCATTACATTAGAAGTAGATGCTTACAAACAACATTGCTGATTGCAATATTTGAGATGATTGTTACAGATTGAATTAAAATAAACTTTGTTATTAAAAAGGTAGCTGAGAAAGATTATGCATAGAATAACAGCTCAGGGAGAATAATTTGTAATAGTGGTTTGACAATAAAAAAGGGAATTTTTATCTGACAAGTAATATAAACTTGGCCGTTTTCGTAAAACATTGTGTATGCCTTATTTTGTAGCATGACTCTTGGATCAAGGAAATGTAAAACAAAAATACATTAAAAATGAAAAAGAATGACAAATGTAAAACATGAAAATAATTAATGACCCAGTGTCAGAACACACCATGTATGAACTTCTAATAATTGTTTTTAGTTAGCATTAAAGAGTATCGTCAACATCATGCATGCTGTTTTTACATATTTCTGGGTTTTAACTTTTTTTACTATCGTCAATGTAATGTGTTGTTTCACACATCTCAGAGGGTTTCTTTTAGCGCTAGTGATCAGAACCATTGAACTGTTATTGGTTTATGACATATGTCCTCATTCACTGAAATGATAATATTAACAGCTTTCAAAATATTTAAATCTCAAAATAAGTTACAACCATAAAACCATAAGCTAAAACGTTGTCAAAAAAGTTTAGGATTTGGTATTTACTAGATTAATATTTTAAACGTGTAATATTTACTTTGATAGTTGTATAATAATGTATAATAATATAATGATTGAGCCTCTTGCTGTATAAAATATGCTACGTAGTAATAGTGTGGAACACAATTTTTTTTAAATAAAATATTAGTGAACAATAAAGAGTTGATTCATTAAATAAAGTTTTATGAAATTTAACTTAAACTTTTAATGATCTAGTTTTACACTCTTATATTGTTAATATAAACTTATATTATTTAAATTATATGTAGCTTAATTCACATTGTGTATTTGTTAACTTAATAACATTATATCTCAGGTTTGATATAACTTTTGAATTATTAGGGATTGAGTGATTGATCTGAAATAACTGATCCATTTTAACTTTGGTTAAAATGTGTGAGAATATTTCTACAGTAGAAAAGGGTTATCCAGAGTGTAGTCATTCATATTTATTATTTTATTTATTGCATTTTAAGTTTGAATATAACAAAATAATCATGAGATGTGTTAATTACACATTTTCATTATGTAGAAGAAACATACGCACATGTGCGCGAGCACACACACACACACACACACACACACATACACACACACAGATGTAGTTGACAGGTGCAGGTCATAGTCTGAGAAATGTTACAGAATTGCCTGTAAATATGTAGATATTTACCTACCAACATATACCAAATACTCCACATCTCATCAGATACATGATCCATACCCAGACAGAGATGGCAAAAGTACACACATCCTTAACTTTAAAACAGATACTCATGTTTAAAACAACTCTGGTAAAAGTAAAAAAAAAAAAAACACTTTTGCACTCAAGTAAAAGTAAGAAAGTGTGTGTGTGTGTGTGTGTGTGTGTGTGTGTGTGTGTGTGTGTGTGTGTGTGTGTGTGTGTGTGTGTGTGTGTGTGTGTGTGTGTGTGTGTGTGTGTGTGTGAATGTGAGGGTATATTGGTGCTTCCCAGTACTGGGTTGTGGCTGGAAGGGCATCCACTTTGTAAAACATCATATGCTGGAATAGTTGGTTCATTCTGCTGTCACCTCCTGATAAATCAGGGACTAAGCTGAAGGATAGTGAGTGAAGATACAGTAGGTATCTAGACCTCACATCCTATTTAATACATTTATATAAAATAACATACATTTTAAAAGTGAAATGTTTGTTGCCAATTTTATGAAGGTAGCCAAGCAGCATCACACCCTGTAAGATTGCCCAACAACATTGTTTAAAAAGTCGGCCCATGCATCATCATCATCCTGACACCAACAAGCGTTCAGCATATGGTTTTGCGGCTATTAGATCAAAATCAACATTTATTTATGTTCATTCACTCTGACGTTTCATTCACGTTTTACACTGAATTCTGTCCAAATTATTATTTTTTTTTTCTTTTGCTAAAATAAATACTTATCATTTTGACTGCAAACTATTTATTTATTTATGTATGTATGTATGTATGTATGTATGTATGTATGTATGTATGTATTTATTTATTTTATTTTATTTTTTCCATTAGGGTTAAGATGATTTATTTACTTCAAAGAGCAGCTCTCTCAGTGTTTTTTTCAGGGTAATGTTTTATTTAATGAATAACCATTAATTATGTTAATACATTTGTTCTAATTTAAAAGCTGATGCAACAACAACAACATACAAAGGCATGACTACAATCTACAAAACATGTGCATGATCTTTATTTCACATGATAAATTCAGAAACTTTTGCAATATATTTATTTATTTATTTATTATTATTATTTTAGTTGTTGAATTCAGTAGTTTTACTCTGTTTTAATCTAAATGTCTTGTGCAAGTTGCACTAATCTTAACATTTGCTGTTCATTTATTCCCCCTCATGCCATTTACGATATAGGTGACATATTTTCTTCAGTAAAAAAAAAAAAAAAAAACAATTGAAAAAGATTTTAGGTGAAACTGTGATTCTCTGTTAAAGGCTACTATGACTGAGTGTCATAAACACACACACACACACACACACACACACACACACACACACACACACACACACACACACACACACACACACACACACACACACACACACACACACACGGTCAACAAAACTATTATGTGACTCTTGAATATTCATTGATCTGTTATGAAAGAAACAACCAGCCTGTGAAAAAAAATTATATTCTTTATACCCAAATAATTACAGCGTGGGACACAAGTATCCAATTACATAATCATGTATATCAGCATTATGAAACTGTTGCATGAGTTATCTTTGTCATAGAGGAGTGGAGAGTGTTAGACTGATTCCTAAAAAAAAAAAAAGACAAGTGACAGACAAGTTCCTGCATTGATCCCGTAGGCCTGCCAGAACACCCGTCACTGACCTACTCAGATCTGCAGCATCTCCATGACTAATGTCAAAAGTTCTTAAGCCTCTGTCATCAAGACTGCAGCTCTGCACAAGAGGAGAACTGGTCGTGCCCAAATAAGCCTGTTTTTTTCTCATTTTTTTCTCAAACAGTTCTTTAATAGAACT